GACCTGTTTTTCAATTTTTTTTTCAAGCAGATTCCCATTATTGATGCAACCAACATTAATGCAATCTTGTTTACAATATTTTTTTTGTCCATCAAGTTGCACAATACTTGTTGTGGCCTAGCATTTAAGCGATAATTTCAAACAACAGATCCAACAGCGTTGACAAAAACAAACCAATGTCGTTGTTATTGCTAAATGGCAGTTTTCATGATAATTCAAGTATGTTCAATAATCAAGCGTCACATTATCAGTCACAATGCTGTGACATCTACAATTTAAATTTTAATGTTGTTATAGTTCACTTCTCACATATACAGACGAATTTCTATTGGTTTTAGCCTTTTTGCAACCTTTTTTTGGATAACAGATTTTTGATTGTAGCGCATATTTCAAATTTGAGTTTAGAAAAAAACAGGCACCCTCTTTTATGTTTGGCCTCAGGCTAAATGTCAAGCTTCAACACACTGAAATACACATGACATGGAGCTAAAATATATGTTTTACAAACCGAGCTATATCTGTTGGTGCGTGAAAGATTACAACCCTTAGGCCTAATTATTTTATTGAGAACACTTAGCCTACAACATCAGATGAATTGTTCTGTATATTAATAATTTATCATATTTGAGCATATTTATCCCAAACACATTCCATATTTACCATTCAGCTGATCTAACATGCAATATTTTTCCGTAGTAGTTCAGGGTTTTCTTACCATTCACATTTAATGTTACCTGATAGATTTTTGTTTGGTTATTTCCCACATTAAAATATAAAACCCTTTAAGTTTTATTTAAATGTATTCAACAATTAGCTGTATACATTTACAGCTATATATAGAGCCGGCATTAGGGACGTGCAAAAGTGTTGCGGCTGCAAAGGGACCGGCGCTTGGTGCAAAATACAAAAAAAAATTGTCAAAAGTCTGTCAATCTTACACCAATTAAGAAAGAAATAGCCCCCCCCCCGCAGCAAACCTGCAGACTAAGCGAATTTACATTTTGTCTTAAATGATTTTCAATTAAATCTATTTAAATAACATTAGGTTTAACGGAGCACCTAGGTTTGCTACTACTGTACAAGGAAACAGTAAGTTATGGAATATTCTCCATAAGAATAACATGGGAATTCTAAATTTACAATTTTTTTATATTTTCTCCGTTACGAATAACCGTACAAAAACACCATATAGGCCTACTAAACACCATGTATGCCTACTAAATTATTTGTTTTTTTAAGCTCTTAAAGGTTTAGAGAGAAATTTTATAATTTTATGTTTTGAGGGTCAACAATGAGAAAAACTAATTTTTACCCCATAAAACCCCGCGTAAAACTGCGTTACCATAGTCCGATCATGGTGGTTCACGAATTCAAGTTATCACGTTTACGGACACACACACACACACATATATAAAACAATTTGAACGAATTGTGTTTTTGGCTTCTTTTTCATTCATTCCCATGGCCATTTATGCCCAAGGCGGGATTTGGCCGCACCAACAACTGCTCTCCATCTCTCTCGATCTTCTGCCTCTTCCACTTCTGCCCCCACCTCTCTGACGTCCTTGGAAACACTATCCCACCATCTCTTCTTGGGCCTTCCTAATGGTCGTTTCCCTTCTGGCTTTCCTATACTTGCTTCTTTTAGTAGTGAACCTCGTTCTCTCCATAGTGCGTGTCCTGCCCACCTTATTCTCCTTGCTTTCACGTGTGCTACTACATCATAATCATTGTACATATTCCTTATCTCCCTATTATGCCTTCTTCTCCATTCTCCATTGTCTTGTATTGGTCCATATATCATTCTTAAAATTTTGTTTTAAAAAACAATCATTTTGTTTTCTTCTTTTTTATTTAAAATCCAAGTTTCAGCTCCATATGTTAATACTGGTCGAATTATACTATGATATATTTTTATTTTCGTTTTATGTGAGAGAATCTTTGAAGTCAACAATTTCTTACAAGAATACATACATTTATTGGCCTGAGCAATCCTATAATTTATTTCCATTTCTTCACTATTGCTGCTTGATATAATTACCCCTAGATATTTAAATTGTTCAATAACTTCAAAAGTATGTCCATCTATACTAATTTCATTTGTCCTCACTTCATTTGGCTGTCTCGTGAAGTGTATATATTTTGTCTTCTCATCATTAATCTTTAGGCCCATTTTTTCTGATTTTTTTATGAACAGTCTGGTTAGCTCCTCTAGGTCATTTCTGTTTTTTGACAGAATTACTACATCGTCCGCAAAAGCTAGGATGTTTATTTTTGTTCCCATTTCTAAACCTATATTTGTTTGCCTTACTTGTTGGAGGGCCTCTTCTAAGGCTATGTTAAATAGTATAGGTGATATTCCATCACCTTGCCTTACGCCTGTTCTTACTTCAAAGCTTTCTGATAACTCTCCATCTATTTTTACTTTGCATTTTGATTCATTCAAGGACATTTCTACTAGTTTTATTAGTTTTCTGGGGATCCCAAACTTTTCCATCTGCTGATATATTCTTCCCCTGTCAAGGCTATCATAGGCCTTCGAAAAATCAATGAAAAGCCCATGTACTTCTTTATTGTATTCCCAGTGCTTACTAATAACTTGTTTAAGTATGTGAACTGGGGACATCAAAATGAAAAAGTAAATTGGTCCCGGGCCTAGGTCTTACTGTGCCATCTACGGTAATAGCTACTTCCCCATAGGGAAATTCGCTAAAAGGAGGGAGTGCAAATACTAATATTAACGTAGCGTATACATGGAGATTTTTGTTAGTTAGTATTGTTGGGATACTATGATTTTGGTAGTAAGGGGCTCCGCTCTGTATGTTTGCACTCTGCCCCGCACCACCCAAGGCCGGCTCTGCTCACAACCCTATAAAAAAAGATAAAAACAAAAAGAGAGCAGTAAACTAATAAACTTATGGGTAGGCCTACAAGAAAATAAATTCCTTGTTTTTCTCACTAGGAGGACTTATTCATAACTATTTTAAATTAATAATTAACAAAGGCCTACCTGGATAGTCTGCTTTGGTACATTTTACAGCAACTTGAGTCCAGCTTCCTGGCGCACAGCCGAGATCAACCACTACTTGTCCTGGCCGCAATATTCTATACGACTTATTTATCTCTATCAGTTTAAACGCACTGCGACACCTTAAACAGGGAAGAGTGAGAAATTGTTGGGTATAATTAAGTAGCAATGAACCATCACCAATTTTACCAAACCTAATATTATGGAAAATACCCCCACCACAGCAAACCTGCAGACTAAGCGAATTTCAACTTGTCTGATTACATTTTTACTAAAATATTTCCATAAATAAGACATTTTTATTCCCAATTTAAATAACATAAGATTTAACAAGAGCTTAGGTTTGCTGCTACGGGGAAGGTAAAAAGTGTTTTTGACCATATGTCAATAGTATATAGGATGAAATAAATAAATTTGTCAAATTTGTTCAATAAGTTATCCGGCATAAACAAGTAACTTAAACTACAACTGTTTTAAATTTCACCATAAGAATAACACGGGAATTTTAAATTACACTATTTTTGAATTTTTTCCATGACCGTTAGCCATACAACAGCGCTTTAATAAATATACAAAATTATTTCTTTTTTTTAGCTCTACAAAACGGTTTTAAAAGAAATTGCAAATGTTTTTGTTTTCAGGGTCACAAATGGGAAAACCCCATTTTAACCCCTAATGTCCCCTAATGCCGGACGTGCATTAGGCGTCCGGCAGTAACGTCACCGGGTTGTGGGGGCCCGGATCGCCATTACCACAACGATACGATGTACAGCCATCGGTATTCGTGGTATAGTGGATAGAGTGCTCGGCTGATATGCAAGAGGTAACTTACCCCTGGTTCGAATCTCATCAGTAACTTTAACTTTTTGTCAAAGACTTTGCTTTGAAAGCCATTTCTTCTTAACTATAACTTGCATCTTTTGTTAGAATTTTTGGCATTTATAATTTTATTTTACGAACAGAATTTAACCTTCATTTGATTCTTTCATTATCAGCAAGTTAGGTTAGGTTATGACAGTAACTGCGGGCGCCTAATCCACGTCCGGTTACCGAACGTGTATCCTCTCGTACTAAAATATATTTGGTAGGTATATTAATATATAACTTACTATATTTAATGTCAACTTAGCTTGGAATGTCTAATGAGAACTCCTAAGAAATTGACTGTGAAATGCCATAGGCCTACTTAAATTACGATGGGCAATTTGTAGATTTGTTTAGGCAACATAGTTATAGGACTACTTCACAAATGTAATAAGTTAGGAACTAGTCTGATGTACTTAGTAATTTCGTTTGAACCCATTTAAATTACTAACCTGTAGTGCTCTATCCTTGCTTGTTTAACATATTTGTCATTTAACTGTCTTGAAAGCCAAATCTGAGAACTAGGTTTAAATTTTTGAGCATTTTTTAATTGTTCTTTGAATGCAACTCTTCCAGTGCTAAATTTGCAAACAGCGGGTAAAACTTTTAATGTGATATAATTAAACATTTTATATTTTTCTTTTTCGTCCTAACTTAGAATCCTTTATCGCCCAAAAGCATGACATAACCTATACAAAATAATTAAGGCATTTTTTAAAGTTGTTATTATTGTTGATTTGTTGACAAACGAGGTTAAGTCTGTTCCGTCTGATTTTTGACTTTAGTCAATCGAATCGAATCTCGATCCGAATCCGAATCAGTCGGTTGTAGTGTACTATCAGTATCAGCCGTGGGGTTCCAGATTATCGACATCCCAAAATATCGACACTAAAATAGTCCCATCTTGTCGACAGCTCGTTTCTTTCTAAACTGCTAAAAGAAGCCTCATTGCTGCCTCAGCTGTCCAGCTGTCTTTGTGACAAACTACCGAATACCGAAACTCAGGAAACTAGCAAACTAGCCTACCTTGTCGTTGTCTTGTCTTCTTGTCTTGTCACTTTTCACTGAAGGACTGAAGAAGAGTTCTGTCTGTTTAATGTTTGTTTGTTCAATTCAATCTCGAATCTCGCTGTTTGGATGTGACTGATGTGATGTGAGAAATTTCGTGTAATTTTTGTCTACAAGCTGTCAGACTCAGACGAAGTATAAACATTTTATTACTGTCAATATCGTTTACTTTTTATTTAATATTATACACGTTTGTAAGGAACAGTTTCTATCTTGTGAAGGGCAAGCAGCCTTGTTTTAATCGAAAATCGTATTTTACAGTAATGTTATTTTTCAGTTTGTTTAAAGATGTGAATTGAAATTCTAAGAAAATGTTGAATTTACATTTGGTTTTCCTCCTTAGCATTGTGTCATCAGGTAAGTGACATGTTTCTTAAGTGATCCCTAATTTATTAATTCGGTAAGGTTACTAATAGGCCTAGGCTAAGTTACTATCAGTAAGTTAGTGATAGTTACTTGAATCATAGCAACAGTTTGGGGTGAGTAGATGAATTCACGGTTTGAGTTGCCTCATTCGACACCTAGAAGCATCGGTCCACCCAAATAGTAGTCTAATACTGCATAGGCCTAGGCCTAAGGCCCTACCTAGTAATTTGTTACCTAGGTACTTAACCCTCCGAGTGTCCATAGTTTAGGCCTTAATGTCCGCCTATTTTTGGCGCATTTGCAAGGTTTTATTAAAACGGATCTGAAAAGCTTAAAACAATGTTAATTCTACTGTTCTATTTACCATTTTGTTTGGAAAATCATGGGCTTCAATATCATACATAAAACCTAGGCCTAAGGAATATTTGTTTCAAAAAAATTTTTTTAGGTAGGCCTAGCCAAAAAAAAAATCTTTTTTGGAAAAATTGAAAAAAAAATAAGTTTGCGCTCAATGAAATTGTATAAAGGCTGCACTTTACTTGACGTCCTACACTCATTCGATTGTTTTTTCGATTCGATATTTTCATTTGATTGTTTCATTCGATATATCGTTTGGTTAGTTAGGTTAGGTTAACCTTACCTAACTAACCAAACGATATATCGAATGAAGCAATCGATATATCGATCGATATTTTCATTCGAATGAGTGTAGGACGTCAAGTAAAGTGCAGCCTTGTATAAATTATAGGCCTATAAATATTTGAAAATAGCCACTTTGTTCTAAATTTTATGAGGATTACAAATATATAATAATATAAGGAAGTAGATTTGCAAATAAATAAGTTATGGGCAAAAACAGATTTCAGTACATAGCGTTTAGCTAAGAATGCATAGCCTAACATAGCTAGGAATCTGGCTGATAATTTACATCAATATCACTACCTACTTCTTCAGGATCATCAAACAGCCCTTCAAAATCACTTAAATCTTCTAATAATGCACCACGTATATCACTACTTTTGATTTTTAACACTAAAACAATGATAAACATAATAAAACACATCAGTCATCGGTCCGAGGTTAACTAGCCTAACCTGTTTACAAATACGCACGTCAGCTGTCTGCTACAATTACGATCGGCTCGGAGAACATAAAGCGCTTAGAGACAGACCTCTGGAGAAAGCTTAGAATATAATGAAAAGAACGATACCAAACTCGATCCAGTTCAATCCGATTTTGTCAGTCATAGAGCCTTCGCCGTAAACAGTGTTCGTGAGTCGCTGCAGCGACGCATGACACTCGGAGGGTTAAGTACATAATGTTACATTTAATGTTAATACATAATGTAGGGGTACAATTTCTTAACTGGGCTAACTTATGCTAATAACGATTTAAAATATCGGTTCGATTAGTAGGGGTTTACAATTTCTTAACTGGGCTACGCTAATATAGGTAGACTAAAAGTATCAATTCGATTGGTAAACCTTCATTAATTTTTTTTCATTAGGCCTATCAGAAAGTTTGGTTAGTTGGGTTAAGTTGTCTGCTAACAGTTTTATTTTATAGAACTTAGGCCTAGTTAACAAAATCAAATGAAGAATTACCAATCAAATCGATATTTTCAATCAATCAATATTAGCGTAGGGCCTAGTCCAGTTAAAAAACTGTACCCCTATTGTAGTTCGGCTGCATTTTACTCTACGTCCTACACTCCTTCGAATTAAAATATCGGTTATTCGATTGTTTTATTCAATATATCGTTAGGTTAACCTTACCTAACTAACCAAACGATATAACTTATCGAATAATCAATATAAGTTAACGATCGATATTTTCATTCCAATGAGTGCAGAACGTAAAGTAAAGTGCAGCCTGTAGTTCAAAAACACTATTTTAAGCGTGGATGGGGTGAGAAATAGGTTTGTTGGTTTTCACTTACTTTTTCACATTGCTTTGAGTGTGGGGAAGGGTGGGACTGGAGCCGATGTTAATACTTAGACAAACCTTTACTGTACAAAGATTAGTCGGGTAGACTTCTGTATCAGATTTTAGTAGCCTATAAGTTACCAAATTTGCTTTTTTACTTTGTGCTTTGTTATGTTTTGAGTGGGTTTTATTCAGCATTATGAGGGAATCAAGAAAAGTTATTGTGTGAGTTGGATTTTGTTTTAGGTGTTTGGCTACCATTGATGTGGGGTTGTTATGATGACTTGTATTTGTAGCGTCAGCTGATGACGTTGTCATAGCAACGCATTAAGTTAGTCTGATCTTTGTTTTTCTACAGGAATGTACACACAATTTAACTCTTATTAAAATACTTTTCTATTACTTATTTGGTCATAATTTTATTCTATGTACACGAACAACCACGACCAAAATGGTGACCCCGACTACAACCGTTATCTAAAGACTTATTTTCTTTGAAGAGTTTAAATCTTTTGTGTTTCCTCCTTCGAACGATGTCATTAGAAGACCTGCAGACTCAACTCGCCGAACTTAGAACTGCGAATGAAGAACTGCGTCAACGGATTGGACAACCCAGCACTTCTCAAAACATGTCGGTGAACAGAGTAGCCGTCAAACTTCCGCCCTTTTGGCCTGAAAGACCAAGTCTGTGGTTCTGTCAAGTTGACTCGCAATTTCTTATATCTGGAATTACCAACGACGACACCAAGTTTCACTACGTGGTCTCGCAATTGGACACAGGAATTGCTGCTGAAGTCGAAGACATCATAACAAACCCTCCTCAAGGCGACAAATACGGACATCTAAAAAAGAAACTGATTGAACGCCTCTCTGCATCCGAAGAGCAACGTGTGCGGCGGCTGCTGAGTGAAGAGGACCTTGGAGACCGCAAGCCTTCTCAGTTTTTGAGGCATCTTAGGTCTCTTGCGGGCTCGACTCCCCTTCAAGACAACATGCTTCGTCAACTGTGGCTCAGACGACTCCCTCCTCATTCACAAGCCATATTGACTACGCAACTTGAGCTCTCCTTGGACAAACTGGCAGAACTGGCTGATAAGATCATGGAGGTAGCTGACATTCCTTCAACACCTGGTATTTGTGAAGTCTCTTCAGGTAACACTTCTTTATTAAATGCAATAGAATCCCTCTCTAAACAAGTTCAAGCATTATCAGAAACCAGAGTACGAGATACACAGGTGAGACCTAGGGGTCGTTCCCAGTCTCGTGGTGGATCAGGAAACGAACCTAATCCCTCTAAGAACTGGTGCTGGTACCATAGAAAATTCAAAAACAATGCTACCAAATGTCTTTCTCCGTGCTCTTTTCAGGGAAACCTCAGCAACAATCCGTAGAGGCCGCAACGGATTGTTCAAATGCTGGCGGCCGTCTCTTTGTGATGGACAGAAATTCACGAACTAGGTTCCTTATCGACACCGGGTCTGATGTGTCGTGTTTTCCTAAACGCCTTATCAAATATAAACGTTTTCCTACTAGCTATTCACTAAGTGCTGCCAATAACAGTGAAATAAAGACTTATGGTACCATGCCTCTCACCCTTAATTTAGGCCTTAGACGTAATTTCCCTTGGAGTCTAGTGGTAGCGGATGTTTCAATACCTATATTAGGTTCAGACTTCCTTTCACACTATCACTTATTACCCGATTGCAAAATGAAATGTTTGGTTGACAAGAAAACGGGATTGAATGCCGAGGGAATAGTTTCTAACAACAATCAAACTAGTATTAAAGTTATATCTTTCTCTTCGCCATTGGCAGAAGTTTTTTCTGAATTCCCTGATATTATTCGTCCTCCAGGCTTACCTCGTGATGTGAAACATAAAACAGTTCATCATATAAATGTTACACCTGGTCCTCCTGTTCACTGTCGACCACGTCGCTTACATCCTCAAAAATTGAAAGCTGCCCGGAAAGAATTTGAGGAGATGGTTAAGCTTGGTATTGCTCGACCCTCTGAAAGCCCCTGGTCCTCACCTTTGCACATGGTGCCTGAAGGTGAAAATGGATGGCGTCCTTGCGGTGATTACCGCGCTTTAAATGCTCGTACTGTTCCTGACAGATACCCTGTACCACATATTCAGGATTTCTCGTTCAATTTAGCAGGCTGTACGCATTTCTCTGCCATTGATTTGACCAAGGCTTACCACCAAATTCCCGTCCACGAAGATGACATCCAAAAAACAGCAATCACCACTCCATTTGGTTTGTTTGAATTTCCATTCATGACTTTTGGCTTACGCAACGCGGGTCAAACATTTCAAAGATTCATAGATGAAGTTATTCACGGCCTTGATTTTTGTTATGCATATATTGACGACATTTTAGTATTTTCCCAGTCTGAAGAAATACATAAAGAACACCTAAGAATGTTGTTTGAACGACTTTCTGACTATGGAGTAGTTGTAAATCCATCTAAATGTGTAATTGGTGTACCAGAAGTTAAATTTTTAGGTTACTTAGTCTCATCTGCTGGGACACGTCCACCTCAGGAGAGAGTCACTGCTCTACAAGACTACCAGTTACCTCAGACAATGCGTGGTCTTCGCAGATTCTTGGGAATTATGAACTTTTATCGTAGGTTTCTGCCAAAGGCCGCTGAATTTCAAGCACCTCTGCACTCCCTACTTAGTGACGCTGATTCAAAAGGTTCCCTCCCTGTGCCCTGGACTCCAGAGACAGAAGAAGCTTTCCAAGCATGCAAGGCTAGCTTATCATCAGCAACACTATTGTTTCATCCTAAACCTGATGCTCCTCTTGGTCTCTTTACAGACGCCTCTGGAGTAAGTGTAGGTGCTTGCCTCCAACAGTTTGTCGATGACTCTTGGCAACCACTAGGTTTTTTCTCCAAGAAACTATCATCCAAACAGTGCATCTGGCCTGCATACTACAGAGAACTCCTCGCTATTTATGAAGCTGTGCAGCATTTCCGTCATCTCTTGGAAACAACTTCTTTCACTATATTCACAGATCATAAACCACTTATTTATGCCTTTCAACAGCGCCGTGACAAGTTGCCTCCAGCTCAGTTACGCCAACTTTCATTTATCTCTGAGTTTTCGACAGACATAAAGCACATCAGTGGTTCACAAAATATAGTTGCTGATGCTTTGTCACGTGTTGAAGCCATTTCAACTGTTTTAGATCATGAATCCTTAGCCAAGTCACAAGAGTCAGACGAAGAACTTCAAAATCTCATTTCAGAAAGTACTACATCTCTTAGATTGGAGAAAGTTCCGATTCCTGGAACCCATTTGAGCCTTATCTGTGACACCTCAACAGGAACTCCTAGACCCTTTGTGCCATCAGAACTGCGACGTAGAGTTTTCGACCAGTTCCACAAGCTGAGTCATCCTGGAATACGTGCCACAACAAAACTTATCTGCGATCGTTTTGTCTGGCCTTCCATTCGTAAGGATTGCCACAAATGGACTCAATCTTGCCTCTCATGCCAAAGATCTAAGATAACTAGACATGTTTCTACTCCCCTTGGTGATTTTCATACACCTACAGAACGTTTTTCTCATGTCCACATTGACCTAATTGGCCCACTTCCCTTATCAAAATCTTCTAGGTACTGTCTAACTATCATAGATAGATTTACTCGTTGGCCTGAAATTTGTCCTATTGATCAAATAACTGCCGAATCTGTTACTGGAGCGTTTGTCTCTACTTGGATAGCTCGATTTGGATGCCCACAAAAGTTGACATGTGATCGCGGATCCCAGTTCACATCGACTTTGTTTAAAGACCTAGCACGACAGTTGGGCATAAAGCTCCAGTTCACTACCAGCTGGCATCCACAAGCCAACGGTATGATTGAAAGACTCCACCGCCAGTTGAAAGCTGCTATAATGGCTCACAGCAAATCAGACTGGACCGAAGTACTGCCGTTTGTCCTTCTCGGAATAAGATCTGCCTTCAAGGAGGACATCACTGCTTCATCAGCTGAACTGGTGTACGGAGAACCACTGCGTCTTCCGGGAGAGTTTTTCGTAATACCTTCCCACGAGAGCAACGAGCCACAAGAATTGGTATCAGGGCTGCGTAAGCATATGAATCGACTAAGACCTACACCCGCATCACGCCACATTAAACCAGGGTCGTTTGTGTTCAAGAACCTCAATACTTGTGACTTTGTATTCCTCCGACAAGACAGCTTAAGAAAATCTTTACAGGTTCCATATTCTGGTCCTTACAAGGTCATATGCCGTGACGAAAAGACAATTACCATCATTGTAAGAGGCCAAGAAACTAAGGTATCTTTGGACAGGGTCAAGCCAGCCTATATTATTGCAGATGAAAGTCCTATTCCTGAGCCCACGAAACGTTTGGTGCCGACTGGACAAGCAGAGGAATCCTCAAAACTACCACCATCTTGTCAAACTCCATCTACGAATTCTTATACAACTCGTTCTGGAAGACAAATCCGACCACGGGTTACTTTTCAAAATGATGCATAGATTCCTTTTCTCCGTGGGGGGCTGGTGTAGCGTCAGCTGATGACGTTGTCATAGCAACGCATTAAGTTAGTCTGATCTTTGTTTTTCTACAGGAATGTACACACAATTTAACTCTTATTAAAATACTTTTCTATTACTTATTTGGTCATAATTTTATTCTATGTACACGAACAACCACGACCAAATATTTAATGCTCTCTAAATCTAATAGAGCCTAATATGTATTGGTTCTTACATGGTGGTTTTCAAGATTTCTGTGCACGCCTCTCCCATTTTGGTACGATCTAGATGCAGGAGCTTCAAAATCAGAAACAGAGTGATCAGAAAGGGGTGTTTTAGGAGTTCCTTTGATTTGTAATTGATTGTAGGTGCTCAGAGTGATCTGAGTTCAATAGGCCTAGGCTACTGCTTTTTAGCTTATGGGATTATATTGTAGTTTAATTAATGCATTTTCAACTATAGATCTTCTTTTATAAATTAAAATGTAAAATTATTAAATTTGTTTACTGTACTTCAGGGTATGCCTGGCGGGTTAGCTTGACCAGCAATGCTCCAGTGGTCATCGGAGGAACTGTGCAATTCCGAGCAGAAATTACCGAAGACAACGGACATCATGCAAGTGGCGAATATCAGTTCCGCTTTCGAGACAATGCCATTCCCCAACACTCAAAAACAGTGAGTATTGTAATACCGTAGCTTAAAAAATTGTTTATGATTAAGTTATTTTAAAAATAAATGATCACTTTAGATTCCTGTTGGATTCCTATTCTATACCTATTTGACTCCATACTTAAATTTTACTAATTTTAATTTTTACGGATTTGGGATTTTTAATGTGGAGCAATTCAAACTTTCAAATTCAACATCCCCAATATGGTTATTGTTAAAATGAGAAGCACTAATAAAATGTCAACTATTGTTGGGATACTATGAAATAATGTTGGTGAGTTGGTGGCTTAGCTGGTAGCGTGATCTAGGAATGTAAGGCAGCGTTGTGGGTTCCCATCGTGAACTGTTGCCACTTTTATTTTTCAGTAGGCTATTCAATTACAATCTTGTACTGTAGCTTGATGCGTTCCACACAGGCCAGAGTCTTATGTAAATAGGCAAATGCAAAGGTTAAAAAGTGTTCGCCGGCCTCTTCAAAATAGAGTTAAATGAAATGGAAAAAATATAGAGAAAACAGGAAGTAGTAGGTTAACTTCCATATTTTGAAAATTAATTTGAACTAACTTAACTGAATTAAATTTGTATGAGACTCCATAACAAATTTTGTGTAACCACACAATTTGGTAGAACATCTTATTGGAGGCTCAATTAAAATAAAAACATTTTTCGGATAATGAATAGATTAATAGTAGATTTCACCCTGATGTTGGTTTCATTTAAAGTTCTTAAAAATGTATAAAATATTCTAAACAGTTAAAGACTATTATGGGCTTGTAGGCAGATGCATAGTTAAATAAAACTTACAATATCAGCTCCTATAGTAGCATATATATTGAAACTGATGATTTGTTGCTCAATTGTAACAATAAAATGTTATGTCAGATTGACGGACAGTTCACCTCGGCGTCTTGGGAGGTAACATACAACAAAGACGACTACAGCCCAGGCACTTATGAGGTTCAAGTGGAAATATATCGATGGACGTTTTTCTTATGGAATATTGGTAGTAAGAGGATCTATTTTGATCTCACAGGTAAGTTATAATATATAATATTCTACACAATTGATTTGAATTATCGTAACCTTTCATTAATTACTCTAATTGCTTTTGAAATGAGCTGGCCAACTTAGGTTACTTCTAGGCCTACATTAATCTAAATTCTAAATACAGTTTGTAAACTTTAGGGTACCGTACACAGAATTTGGAATAATCATATTTGTGTTGTACTAAGAATAATTTTTTTCATTCATAATATGTAACAAAGGTGACTTAGAAACAAAACTATACAATTTATACTTTCTTCTCACTATGGGACCTATGTATCTTATCAAACTTTGACTGATTATTAAATAGACTAGCCATATTTCAATAGTTTTATTTTTTTATTTTAAGCCAAGAATGGATTTGGTCATTTGGGTGTAAAGTATACTTTATTTACTGACCATGTGTCTGAGAATAAACTATTACAGCAACAATATTTTGTAGCACTTCTCAACGGCGGAATGAACATGACGCAGAACAATAAAACAGTGACGGAAGACTTTGTCAGTTCTGCCACAGAAGTAACACATACAATCTACTTCTCCGAGCCTGATAAATCGTTTCTGGATAAGAAAGCTACGTCGGTGGTCGCTTATTGGTTCGTCAGCTGTATCTACTACGGCGCAACGTCAGACCTTTCGTTCAAGTATAACTACACAAACGATGCCGATCAAACTATGTAAGTATTCGTAATTGTTGTACAGGCAATATCAATGACTTTGAGTTGTGCTAGCCTAGTAGACATATTGTCTGGTAAAATCTTTAAGCCTGTTTTGGTTTGAGTATCTTGGTTATGTTTGGGTGTGCTGATGTTAATTAAGTGTTACAGACACATTCCTTAAAATTGTTTTTAACTGATCCATAGGAATGATAACTTGATATGGTTAATGGGTAATCCAGGGCCGTATTTCGAATCGATGAGGCCCCCAGCAGCTCTATATTCTATAGAGTGGCCCCTCTATATTCTGATTCTTTGGTATAAGAAATACACGTGGTATTGCTTCAGCTCGATGAATTGACGTTTACTTTCCATAATAATCCGATCGGAAAAAAGACCTAGGAGACTACTGTAGCTAAGTAAATAAGTCTGACATTTGTAATTTATTTAGGGTTGAGTAAAAATGTTGATCAAAATCAGGTTGGAAATAATTAATTTAAAATGTATTAATTGATATACTATTATCAGGTCAACTTAATAGAAAATCTGAAGTTGCAGCCAAAATGTCACAAAAATTTTGTGAACATGTTCTACGTTCGCGGCAAAATAGTGAACATCATGCGCGATCGCGGAGATATCATCTTCGTCTCCTCCGATCACGGTAGAATCATGAATGTCTCCTATGGCCGCAGAGGAATAGTTAACATTTTGCGCAAGTGCGAAAAACATCATCTTCGTCTCTTCCGACATGACAAAATCGTGAAGATTTTCCTAGTTTGCGCGGACATGAACTTGAACATGAACTGAATGGTCAAACTCACTACATACATGTTTCACCTACATATAGGAATGGTCAAACTCACTACATACATGTTTCACCTACATATAGGAATGGTCAAACTCACTACATACATGTTTCACCTACATATAGGAATGGTCAAACTCACTACATACATGTTTCACCTACATATAGGAATGGTCTAACTCACTACGTACATGTTTCACCTACATATAGGAATGGTCTAACTCACTACGTACATGTTTCACCTACATATAGGAATGGTCAAACTCACTACATACATGTTTCACCTACATATAGGAATGGTCAAACTCACTATGTACTTGTTTCACCTACATATAGGCATTGTAAAGTGATCCATCAAGAATATTTCATCCATTGCAGACTCGTCAAGAACATTTAAATAAATGAGTCTGCTACCGTTCCGCGACCGGTTATTAGTAGGCATACTAATTGTTAAATGTTTTGTCGTACAATGTGTCGTCGTATATGTGTATTTATTTGAAGGTTCTTGAGAAGTCTGCATTGGATGAAACACTTGACAATGCCTATGTATAGGTGAAACATGTAGTGAGTTTGACCATACTATTGAACTGTGGACGTAAAGGTATGCACTTTAAAATAGTCATGCTTCTTAAAATAACTGGGACGGGTGGCGTCGTTCTGTAATCCAGCTACTAGGAGGTCACAAATTATGGATATTTATAGGCATGCACTGTGGATGCGATGCTCCCTGGTGTGGATTAGCGTCCGCACTAGTGAGTAGCCTACTACGACTATCCGCAGTACTATCCTGATAATTAGACCAATTCGTTAATTACAAGGAAAAAATGTGGTTCGGATTCCACTATAAACTATAGGTCCCTTAGTTGCCATTAGCTAAATGGGCTATTAACCCTAGAGCTGGCACTAGTGTAACGCTGTACTGGCATAGGGATATTATTGATTATGTAATATCATTTTTAAACCATCAAAAAAAATTAGAAATAGCAACATAACTATGGATTGTTATATATCATTTTGTTCAGAATAAGACAAAGAACAATAATATAGGTGTTTTTAGTTTTTCCAAATTGTAGGCTTTATTAATTTTTTTATAAAATGTTTTTATATTCCGTCGTATAGCTAAGTGCATGTAAGACTTATCATCATAAGGTAAATTGTAAAGTTGTGGTAAATTTTGTGCTGATTCCAAAAATAAAAATATATAGTTTATATAGCTTATTTTGTGTATTTTGTTTGATAGCCCTATTACTATGTCGATTGTACCCCCGCGCTAGTACCAAATAATCATCCAACCCAGGTCATATACAAAACCGTACAACTTATATAATATATAATTCCAGGGTACTCTGGTTTGTATTATCAACTTAATTATTACAACAGTAGCCCCAAAAAGTGAACAAAACTAAAAAAAAAAAAAAAAAAAAAAAAAAAAAAAAATTAGACATAGGCTTACCGTAACACCTGCATTGGCGCTGTATATCCGGCGTTGCCATTTCGGCCGCGGCCGTTCTCGCCGTATTTCTGGCGTTTGCCAGCGCTAGGGTTAATTAACAGCTGTGTCCAAGGAACATGTTGACCTAAGTCGCTAACAAGACTACAAGATCGCGCCACTCACCCTACACTCATCCTTCATACTGAGCTTAAGTCGAACGATCTAAGACAATATGACTAATTCAGCTGGTTCATGCTTTAAGAGAAGCAACCATCATGTGTTCGGGAAAGGAAAATGATCACAGTTAATAAGCACATAAAACTTTAAAAACAAAGACATTTTTAATGAAATATCGAGACTAATGACTGGTCATCTGTCAGGCACATGTTAAATCATATGAATTTTAAAATTAATCAATGAAATAAAGAAAAAAATTGTAAGACAAGTATTACATTACTGTTATGTGCAAAAATTTTAACCTTAATTTATAAAAGAGAAATTGGCATGAATTTTAATTAATTTGACAGATTTTTCCTGCAATAAGACTGTTTGTTATAGTATTTCAAGTGAATAGTGAGCGGAAATTAGGATTTTAAATGGTGCCTCAATGGTGTTATTGTTACAATTTCTCAAGAAAATGTTTTGACAAACTTAAAATAATACTAGTGACACAATGTTAAACTGAGTGAAGTTGTTAAAAAATATATTTTTCTAGGCATGTGGAAGCGTTGGTTGTGGCGTCTTTTGAACCCCTCCCTCCTCCTACCACACCTGCTCCAACGACTACGATAGCACCGACGGACAAACCTACGTCCACTCCCCCCACCACTACAACCGCAGCTGCGACTACGACAGTCAAACCCTCCAATAACATAACAGCTTTGGTGCAGCCTAACTTGAAGCTTGGAACGAACGTTTCTGAGATTCCAATTCTCCCTTATGTTTGTCTCAACACTTCAATTATAGCTCCGGATCCGAAGAAGACGTATGGATACTTTTCTACCAAGGTGGATGTTAAAGGTGAGTTGGTAGTTAAACTCGAGTGTATCATTTCTTATTAACACTGATTATAGATACTTAATCCCAATATGTTAGGATGGAATTTCAAATAAAGTAAGTTTTTAAATGAGCAGTTGGAAGTTGTTTCGGTGCCTAGTTCACGGTGAGTAGTCATGATTGTAGTTTTCATTCTAGAAATTTTAGATCCAAACAAAACAAAAAGTATAGTTTGTAAAACTTAGGCCTACATAGGCTAGAGATGGTAAATTAGTAGATTCAGTTTTTTTGAGAGATCTATGAGATTGTCATAGACAGGTAAATGTTCTGTATCGTAGGACTGTTAGCGAATTTCCTATGTAAAGAAATTACCAGTGGATAAACAGTGTTTTTTGTTTTTTCATTAGGTGTATAAAATATATAAGTTTTTAGGCGTACCTACCACCTCGTGAGCACGCAACATACAGCTGTATGTAGAAAAGCATGCATTTTCTAAATTTAAACCGGCGATAGTCAGGGTAAAAAAACCCTTTTATGTCTTATAATGGTGATTTCGAAAGCAAGACGCAAAGGAAATTGTAGTCGCTTGAATTCAAAGGGTAATTCTGATTAATTCATCGGTATTCTGGGGATTAAGACTATTTCTCCTTTAAACTTATGATGATTGTTGCTTCAATCAAGTTTGGTGTCATTTTTTTTTATCGCCAGTCTGGTTTTGTTGCACAGCTTGGGTGGATTTAAGTTTCGCATTACGACACATTTTTTGAAGTTGCGATTCTAAAACCTGTCGCGGGTATTTAGAGATCGCCGAGTCGCTCACGCAACACTTTGTTGCTGTCGCGGTGCATAAATGCTCCCATTTAACTCAATAGAACTTGAGTCGTGCCGCGACTCATGACTCGCGACTGTCGCGGTGCATAAAACCAGCCTAAATGGACTTTAATTAATTTGCATATTAAGTTACATCATAAAAATACAATTAGTAGGCTAATGCGCAATTATAGTAATTATGTTATGACATTAACCTTGGTTCAGTAAAAAAAACTGTAATGTTTGAAATCACAGCTTTTTCAAACTTTTACTCAAACAAACAAATTGCCAAACGTTGTACAGTAAAATAATAAACGGAACAAAGAAAGTCTAGTAAGCTACTGCTTGTCATAGGCTACTGCTACGCTGTTTCAGTAGAGAAGAATGTCGATAAAAACATTAGATAACGCTTAAAAAAAGTATAAAATAATAGTAGCCTACTTATAGCATAACAACAATCGTAAAATACACCGATATAGATAACAATGACATAAAAACATTGCTTATTCTTTCTCTTTGTTCTTATATTATTTCTTGAGATTCTCTTCATCCACCGCCACCCATTCAACAAGTTGCCATGGTTACTAATCACCCAATCACAGGCTACTAAAGTTGTCATGATTACCATATACCCAATCACAAAATGTTGTGACATAGCAATAGGCAATCGCACAGCAGACAGATGTGTCATGTGTAGGCCTAAGGAGCAGACGATTGTCAGTGCAAATGGATAGCTTGACCTTGAAGCTTTGATCGACATTCCTTTGTTTTGCTTCCATTTTATTTTTGTCAAATGAACCGTGATTTTCCAAAAAACAATGATGTGGGAGGCTACTTATTATTAATAATGGGCAGAAATGGTTAAATATACAACAAATTTCAACACATTAGACTAAAAGAACATAATTAATAAAGTTTTCTAGGTATTTTTCTTGGACAATGAGATTATGTTAGCGGAAGCCTATTGTGTTGGCAGCACAGTCACGGTTGGACCAAGCGAGGAGTCGACCATCGGAGGTCGGATTAGTAAGGTTCTACTGTATTGGAGTTCATTCTTTTAATGTCAGTAATGTGGTGGGTTGATGACAAATTGGGAGGCATTTGAATACCTGAGATAGCACTCACGATTATTATTCACTTAATTGTCTATGTTAGATTGTGTGGGTATAGAACAAAAGATAAAAATATTGATAAAGGTTTTTTATTTTTATGTTTACATATTTAATAGTGGCGAATTTAAACGTTGTTGAGTGCACAGGTGTGCTGCGGTTGAGGTTTAATATATTTGGACCTATCCAAAAGTAAAATAGTTTTCTGTGCTGCATTCTGTGGAAACAGTGTGGCACTATTTCAAATCATGACTAATACAGAATGTTGTGATTATTCACACCTACAAAACAGTTGGTGAAAGTAAACATATGTTTTTAAATTATATTTATTTGTAAACATTGTAGTTCCTAAAGTCTGTCATTGGACCCCTTAAAACCCTCTGGGGCGAAGCCTTTTGACGGACCTGCACCAAACTTCACACAAACCATCCTTGAATAATGCCTGAAAGTTTCATTACAATCTGTCAAGCGGTTTCGGAGTCCATAGGGTATATACTTAGAGATGGGAATTATCGTTCACTTGGTGGAGTCGTTCACTCCGGAGTTATTGAGTTGTCGGAACTAGTTCCGCGGAGTAGTTCCAACTCCGTTTAGAAGAGCGCTGAACACCGGACTTTCGGAGTGAGGAGCGCTTAGCGCTTCCATTCAGACTCACTCACCCATCATTCACCAACCATTTTGGTTCAGAGCTCATAGTTCCAGTCCATGGTTCCTCTTCGCATTACCTCTGGATGATAGTTCCTGGTTCCATTCCAGTAATCGTTATTGAACAAGCGGAACGAATAATGATTAAGCTAGGTTAGGATAGGACCATAGTTAGTGGAGTGAGGAATGACAAAACAGTAGGGCAGTGAGTGAGTCGTTCCAGTCGTATTCTTGTGATGTTTGGTATTCCGCTGCTCCCCTCTCATTAGTCGATTACTGTTCATTATAGCCTACATTCATTTTAAACAGATTTTCAAAAAATTTTAAATATTTATTTACTACAAAAACCTCTAATTTATAACATAATGTATCTTAACCAATGACGGTCTCTTGACTATCTTTAGTTCCGAGAGGAACTAACTCCGATCCAAGAGCCGGAGTTGGACTTGTCGTTCCGGAGTCGGAGTAGTTCTTTCGGAGTAGTTCGTTCCGGAGTTACTCACCTCTAATATACATATATATTATAGATATAGATTTGTTATTTTGATGTTTTTGCGGTAACAGGAAGTCAACTATATTTTATTTTCCTGAATTTAATCATAAAAGCTTTTGTAAACTGACAATTATTTTGTAGCGCCTGTGTCGAGTGTTAGTTGGGTAGGCAACAACTGGCTCCAACACGGAGACATTCTGAACTTGTCAGTGTCGTGTAACGGCTCGGCTCCCTTCCTATACTGCTTCCAAGTGATGGTGGGAGAGTACAACGTCACAGGCAATGAGACGTGCAACCATGAGACACTTATAACAGGTGGGATATCAATCAATTTGTTTTAAAGATATTATTTTTAAAATCTTCCATGATGATTGGTTAAAGATGTATAGGCCTATCATGTTTTAAGCTGGAAAACACCAACAAGAAAACTGTGTAGTAGCGTAGTAGGCACACAAAAGCTTTGGAATATAAACATTTCAAACTACAGATGAAAAAATAACTGTAATTACGTAAATTCTGTAATAAGAGAGATGAATTAAATAAATAATATAACTATGTGAAATATGAATATTGGTAATTGTGTAGTAAGGCAAATGAATAGCTAAAATCAAAAGGTAAATAAAACAATTGTGTGTGAAATGTAAAATTTTAATGTACAAGTGGTCAGTAGCCACTACAACATTTAAATAAACAATATTATAGTCTAATAGTAACAAAACAAGATTAGCCGAACTCAATAGAAACGCCAGCACAAGATGGTGACTGAAAATGGCCAAAGCGATTGCTACAATATTTTTAAATGTTGTCCATCTGCCTGAAACAATCAACATGGCAAAGTGATTTTAAAAGCAGTGAAAATTTTTAAAAATAGTCTTTTAAAAGGTATTTACATATTTTTCTGATGACTCTCATGGGCTTTGCTTTATGGTGTATACATTTAGAAAAGGGGTTTTAATTTTCCTCACTCCCAAAACATAATTTCCCTAGATCCTTAAATTCAATGATTGGCCATAACGGCTGGATTCTGATTAATGGTTGGCTGATTTGTTGTTGGTCAGCTTATTTGATGTATGAGGCTAGGTTTTCTTTTGAAATATTAAGTTTCCTGTGGACAATTTTAGCAGCTTTAAAATTCATCCTACGACTTTCAGGCCAGCAGTGTTGAGGGACTTTTGTCTTCTCTACAAAACTTGTTTTTTATGTTCTTTTATCCTATAACTATACATAATTGGGACAACAATAATGACTAAAACGATAAATTATTGACATTCCAATAGCACAAATTAGTTTAAGAAACATCGCATTACAGTTGTAAAAGATAATGCTTGCACTTCCAAATAGTTTACAAACAAATTACTCATAATTTACTCATAATTTATTGAATGAGTAATGCATTGCACATTACACATTACAAACTGTTGTCTGGGTTTGTAATAATTGATAACAATTATCAGTTAACTTTAACCACACCAATTATGATTCATCGTATAAGAGTGACCTTTGTGGGGTTTCCAATTCATCACTACATTATCATTTCTTTACCACATTTTTATACTGTCAATCACCAAGTTAACATTAAACAAATGAAAGGTCAGACTAAGATGACACATAACTATTGATGCACAAATCAGACTGGTTCTAGAGATTTTTATTTTTTAGCATCTGTTAAAACATACACAAGCCATCTTGCCTACATTTTTAAAGAAGTTTTTGGGGATATTAAATAAGTCTAAAGATAGAGAATAAAAGTTTTGCATGAAAACAAATTGATTTACAGTAATTAGAAAAAAATACAGTATAACATCTTTATATAATGGGTAATAATTGGTGTATGAATGAATGCATGAATGTTACTTCCGTTTGACTGTTTTATATGAATATTGACAGAAACAAAGATGTTTAAAATTCAACAAAATTATTAATTTTACTGATCCTAAAGGGCGTCGTAAAGGCGTAAGGTCAAGGCGTCCTGACTTTACTGAATTGTAATATCATACAAGGCTTCTCACCTATATTGTAAAAGAGTTACCTAAGGAAATTAACGAAGAGGGGTGCGGGAAACTCAGATGGAAGGTTTGATGTTGTGTCCTCAACATTGATGCTACAATTTTTTCCATCCCTCATGAAAAGTCATAAAAAGGTAGAAGGTGAAAGATAAAAAAAATACCTTAAGCATGCATCATTTCCTCCAACTGTAACAATTGTATGTGGATTTTTTGGAGCACTATGGCATCCGTGGTTGTCCTCTTCAGTCTGTTTGCTCTTATTTGAGTGGTCGGTCACAATATGTAGATGTAAAAGGAAAGTATTCAAACTGTACTAAAGTTTTGACAGGGGTGCCTTAGGGCTCTGTTCTTGGCCCTTTGCTTTTTTTGGTGTCAGTTAATGACTTGCCACTTCATATTGAGGAATCCTCAACCACAATGTTTGCGGATGACACTACTTTTTTAACTGTACATTCAAATTACAATAGTCTTAAGATAGCTGTAGATAAAACAATGGAGCAAGCTGGTGTATGGTTTGGTGCTAATAACCTAGTTCTAAATGTAGACAAAACACAAAATCTTATTTGCCTAACAAAAAATAAGAATATAGGTTGTGAGGTAGTGGAAAACAAGGCTGTAAAGATTTTAGGTGTGCTTATTGATAGTGATCTATCCTGGTCTTCCCATGTTGATTATGTCTGTAAGAAGTTGTCTAGAGTGTTATACTTGTTAGATAATTTAAAAACTGTTGTACCTGATAAATATGTTAGAGTAGCCTATTTTACTTTTTTTTAATCTTTTTTAAGTTATTGTATGATTCTCTGGGGGCAATATTGTCAAGAAAGACTTACATGCAAAAATGGCCAAAACGTCAACTTTTAACACCAAAGAACTTCCCTGTAACCCACCTACCCCCCCCCCCCCTCTTGTAAAACTTTTGGCGGCGCCCTTGTATGGAGCTATTATATCCACTAGCTCGTGCCACTAGGTTCCTGGAGTGTAGTTCTGTGTGTCAGCTATGGTGTTTTAATTTGTTTGCTATATATATTTACACACAATATGTCACACTAACAAGATTCTAACCTAATAACCGCTTTGGTACTGACTATAGAATATTTGCAGATTGCCAGTTGATGCTGCCGCGGTACATCCACTACCCTGGTACTTACACAGTGTTGATCATCATCAGCAACTCCGTGTCCCACAAAGTCACTCCGGTGGGAGTAAATATATACGAGGGTGAGTGTAACTGCTAATGTATCATCAGATATCAGCCACAGATGGGGTGTGTGATATTGAATAGGAACGATTGGTCATCGGTTTTAAGATGGTCCACCTCTTATTTATAGCATAAATATAGTGGTTAAATGTTACTATTTATTTGTTGTTCCTAGTATTTAGCATTCACACTTTTGAACTCCTTTTAGAGAACGATTTAAACCCTGGTTTTTTTACTATCTAAAAAAATTTGACTCTGTTCAAGATCAAACCGGCAATCTTCAGGTTTGAAATTTTGAAGGCAATACTGACCCAGAACAAAAAGTCTATTTTCATTTTGTGTATTTTCATCTCTTTGTAAAGAAGACGTCTAATAAACCCCACTGTAAAACATATTTTTACTCTTTTGGTCTTAAATAAAACAATTATAGATGAAAACACAAATTTGCAAACTAAACAAGAATGGTTTTGGTATTACCTTTTTTTTAGTAAATAGTCATTTGTTATTATAGGCTGAAAAATTTGTTAAAAAAAAAATGGTGCGGATATTTCGGTTACCCATCTGTGAATATTTAGAAAAATGGAGGTAATATCTGCAACCCATCTTTACAAATGTAACATCTTGTGCCCTTGAAAAATTCTCAGATAAATAATTACATGTTTTGCTGGGTGTGCCAACATAACGTACAGCACTTACATTCCACTTCTGTGGAATTTAATATTGTTTTCTTAGAAAGTGTAGTTAGCAATAACTTAGTTACCAAAACCATTCTTGTGTAGTTTGCAAATTTGTGTTCTCATCTATTAATAAAATTAGAGTTTTGCCTGTACAATGCTCAGAATTATATATTTTTTTGTTATTTTTACGTTTTATACATTAAAGAAGCCGAAACAAGTCTTATCTCGATTATTTCTGTTTGTCTGTCTGTCACGACCCAGAAAGCATTTTACACGGCCTTCTCCCGAAAATCGAAAGTACCTACGGTATCAAGATTCAAATAATTTTAATAGATTCACTGGATTAGTGAGAGAGTCTTTAGCCAATAAAATATGGCCTCAATACTTTGTAAATAAAATGACGGACGTCCAAAAACCCATTTTTTTGAGAGATTTTTTCAAGCTTTCTCCCAATGTTTATCACATACGTCATTTATGAAATACTAATCATCTGTTTGGAAAGTACGTCATCTATGAAATAACGAATAGCTGTTTGGATCAAGATGATTTTGTCTAGTTGTCAATGATATTACGTTTACATTAAATGTTGTTTACAAATACCGCAACCATTTCCGATCACTTTTTGTAAGCAAATCCAAACCAAGTGAGATTTAAAAGGTTTCCTTACATAACGGATTTAATTAATCGCAAGTGTACCGTGTTACCGTAAATTAAATTAAATAACTAGGCATCATCCAGGTCACGAACCGGAGATTCTTTGTTTATCAAAATTTTCTTGAGTTTTGATAACCAGGAAAAAGACCGCGAATCAGTGTTGTATAGGGCTGGGAAACTTACATTTTTTAAATCATCGTCGCCAATAGCTTACAAACAAGGTTTCCACTCATTGACGGCGCTTCAATGGTGGTTGTGTAAACGCAGTGGGTTACTGTAACAGAGGTTTACGGATGATGCTAAACTCGCTTTGCCAATGTGTCACTTTCGGTTTCTACTCACTGCTATGTGCTGCAATCACTGGACCATACAGCCAATAGGCCCATAGCCCATCTCTTGGGTACGTAGGCCTACCTGTTTGGATTCCAAAATGTTAGTTTATGCTATGAAAATGATAACACATTTGAGTAAAACATTTGTTAAGCAAACCATAATGAATTGTTTATGCTTTACGTTGTTTATATATACTAGTTTGTGGCCTGTGTATTGTAAATTACCAATTTAAATTGTCTTTAGTACTTCATTTCATATAGTATGCCGTCATTTAGACACCATTACGGGTCATCTTTGGATTAAGCAAATATAAATTGTTATCGCAGACGGCATTATCACTGCACGACAAGTAAATATGATTATGATAAAATTGGATGACACTAACAAAGATTTCAAATACGGTACTAATTGTATATGAACTTTGCTTTGGTTAAAGCGTAGCAAATGCCCTAATTAAATTCTGTATTTGTGTGTGTATGTCGTATGTCTGTTGGTAAAGCATTAATGTCCTTATTTCTCTGTGTTTCACAGAAAAATTAAAATGTCAACCCGAAATGAAGTGTTCAATGGTGAGCTTGAGGTAGTATTTTAACTACTTGTAACCAGTGTGGAAAGTAACTTTCAATTATAGGCCTACCTTTAGGCTATGCCCCATGGATCTACAAAGCTTTTTTTTAGTTTAATAATTGGATATAACATATGGATTCTCACCGTGAATGATATTATATTTGCGAAGGTTTATATGTCCCATAATGGTTTTTCCAGCATATCTGGAAATATGCAAACCAACTGCTGTTTTGAATATAAGAAGGTTTCAACTGACTACAAGATCCCCGTCCGTAGAACGGGCACACAGCTAGTCAAAGATAAAATTAAAAACAGTATTTATACTTGTAATTCTTTCAGTGAAAAAGCACCCCCAATTGTCAGTGATCGTGGTTCCCGTGGTGTGTTCAGGGATAGCTGTCATCTTGATAATCTTCGGAGCTGCCTACTACATGCAAAGCCGGCATAGGTAAGAGGAGTTTTGTGTTAACTATTGAAAATAAAATCTACTCATGGAACAATAGTGCAAGTGAAACAGCTGATACACTTCTTCAACCCTTTTAGTTCAGGTTCCCCTTTCTCTGTAGGTTTTCCAGAAAATAGTTTAAATTACTTAGCTCTGTCAAGAAATCCTATGTCATTAGTATCAGACTACACTAGCGTCCATCTTCAAAAATGACAAAAACATCTAGTCATCAATTCAAGTTTGTTAGGTCTGTCAGAACCATTGAAATAAACACATAACACAAACATATGACAGAGATAGCTAATTTAAACCATTTGAGCCTATATTCAGATTTAGGGACCCAAAGGATATTAAACAATGAAATTAAATTTTACAGCATCTCTCTCTTGATTCTGGTACATTTGGAAAGCAGTACCAGATCACTGAGAACCGTCTAAAAAGTCTCTATTTAGTGACAATTAGTGGAAATACCATATTAGAGAATCTATAATTTATTTCTGTAAAAAAATACAACCAACTTCAAACGCTCTAAAAAGAATGAAATAATTTCAATAAAGTAAACTTTTGTATTAGTCAAGCTCACGTATTTTAAGTCGGCGCGGCTCTATGATGATTTTTGATACAAAATTGAAAGAGGGTATCCATATTGCAGGTGACTATCTATAACTAAAGTTGTTAATCTGCATGTCTTTTTCATAGTTATGCGTTAAGTGTTATTTTATTACCGTAATCAGAGATCGGCATTATAGTGGTATTAACGAGCATCTTTAAAAAGATTATAACGCATTTAAATGTTTCTAACATGGTAAAGTAACGTTTTAATACCAAACTAGCTTCTTTTCCCTATCATAATAGCAAAATAAATTATTTTCCTATTCATATAGAACAATTGTGTGTGTTATTTTCATAATGCATTCATTCTGAAGTAAACATAAAATTCAAGAAAGTACTTACTTTGATATATAAACAAAACAGTTCAGTATGTTTTTTATATATTTATTTTATCCAGATACAATTGATTGATTTTCAAAATACACACACAATATTTTATTTTAATCATATTCGCAGTTAGAGACTTACCTGATTTCATCGATCCTGGTATTGAGCATCTCTGTGTGGTGGTGAGTTTCAAAGGGAGTAAGTTTGGTATATGTGTGGTTTATCGTCCTTCCTACATAAGGTACACTCGCCTTTCGGATCTGTTTCGCTCCCTTTTTATTGACCTTGCGGTTGAAGTTAAATCAGTCATTTATTTGGGGGATACTAATATTGATATGCTGTCACAAACCTGCGAAACAAATTACTTGCGTAGGCTGATGAAAGAATCGAACACTATACAAATTGTCAGCGAGCCTACAAGGGTGACAGAAACCTCGGCAAAATTGATTGATCACATCATAGTAGACAAATCAGCCGAGATTGAAAGAGTTGGAGTCATAGACACCCCCAGCATAGTTGACCACAGAGGAATGAGGATGACTGATCATAAACTAATATATTGTTGTATATATTGTAAGAAAGACAAAAGGGGGTCGAAGCTAATCACATTTAGAGATTTTTCTAAATTTAATGCAGATACTGCACTAAACATAATTGCTGATACTAACTGGAATTGTGTGTACAAGCTAGAGTCTCCTGATGAGATAGAGCAATTTATTACTGATCATATAAAGAAAGTGTTTGATGAGGTTGCTCCTATTGTTTGTAAGAAGGTAACACGGAAAAAAGCTCCCTGGATAAATGAAACAATTAAAGAATTGTCAATTGTTAAAAATAAACACCGTAACAAATATTGGAGGACCAGAGATTCTTCAGACTGGTATGAGTATAAAACCATAAGAAATAGGTTGAATTTCATGATCCAAGAGGCTAAGAAAATATTCTTTTCTAACAAGCTTGCCTCATGTGAAAACCCTGCAGAGTTCTGGAATTGTTTAAAAAATTGTGAGATTGTAAGTAGTAAGAGAAATAGTAGGCTCCCCCCAGATTTAGACATTAATATGATAAATGAATATTTTGTCAATATGGGATCTTGTAATGATATAGACATTGAATTGCTAAATAAACTTCAACAATATAAAAAAGTTCTCCTATTTGGAGTCCCGACTGCAGGTTACCAAAATTGGGAGTGAGACATCAGATCCGCTTTGCAAGTTGCGTGGTGTTCCTCAAGGTAGTTGTTTAGGACCTGTGCTGTTCAATTTGTACATGTCTGACTTGTCCAGAAGTGTAGAATATTGTACGGCACACTTGTATGCTGATGACTGCCAACTACACTTGTCATACAAGCCAGACAAGACATCAGAAGCAATCCGGCTCATCAATGCTGATTTGCACAGCATTTTTCAATGGTCTGTCATGAATGGCCTTGGATTGAATGTTGACAAGTGTGTAGTCATGCATACTGGACCAAACATTATGATGCAGGAATTGAGTAAATCTGCTATAGAAATCACCCTTGATGGCATGAGATTGTCTGTTTGCGACACTGTCAACACACTTGGTGTTGTACTTGACAAAGACCTCTCTTTTTCTGACCATGTCACATCTGCAGTTCAACGTGCAGTGGGTAGACTGAGAGGTCTTAGCAGATTTAAAACTCTACTGCCAGAATATGCCAAAATGCAACTCATGCGGTCCTTGGTCCTCCCAGCCTTTACATATTGCTTTCCTGCATATGGAAACAGCATCTCTAAGGAGGATATGGCAAGAGTTCAAAGAATTCAAAATTCTGCAGTAAGGTTCATTTTTGGCCTTAACCGCTTTGACCACGTGTCCTCCTCCCGAGATGCTGCAAAGCTCATCCCAATGGATGAAATATGCAGGAGGCTGACCTGCTGCCTGGTCCACAAAGTGCTCACGCTGGGAGAGCCTCAGTACCTCAGCGAGAGGCTTAAGTACAGGGGGGAGATCTGCCTGCGTGGTACTCGTTCCGACCGCAGGCTTCACTTTCCTAAAGTGAGGCTTGAGGTTGGAAGAAAGTCATTTTCTTATTTTGGCCCGCAGTTGTATAATGGCCTCCCTCAGGACATAAAGAGCTCCAAATCGTATGGCTCATTCAGGGCCGCAATGCATAAAAACAAATGTAAATTGTAAATGTTTTTTCTTTGTAGTTTTTTTGTATATTAAATTTCTGTATATATTAGGTTAGTTTAGTTTTAGTTTGACTTGAGTAAGTTTGAAAATCATGTATATGAAACTCGCTTGTAAATAAAGGCCTTTTTATTTATTTATTTAGAGCCGCGCCGACTTGAAATACGTGAGCTTGACTAATACAAAAGTTTACTTAATTGAAATTATTTCATTCTTTTTAGAGCGTTTGAAGTCGGTTGTATTTTTTACAGAAATAAATTATTTCATGATTTTTAGTGACTGTATAATTTGTTATATATTAATTACTTGAGGTTTTTTGATAAGCAAAACTGTTTGAAACAACCAAAAGTGCCACAGAACAATCATTATTTTAAAACTGCTTGAGTCACCTGTTCAGGTTACATAATCAATGGGTATAAAAATAAAACATTTTTAGATATTCCTTAAAAAACAAAGAGTTGTCCATTAAATTAGGCCTAATGAAAATCTAAATGTCTTTTCTAGAGACATTGAAATGCCAGACATCATCTTTTCGTGCAATCTGTGTACTTCTACATTATAAAAAGAAATAGAAATACATTAACGTCTCAAGCCTTTTGGGACAATATGAAAGTTATTCCTCAGCTACCAGCACTAAAAAATCTCTCAAAAGTAGAAAATTGGTTGTTATCACATATATTACCTTTGGAAAATAGATATATGAAAGATTGGTTCAGCTAAAAGTGGTGTAAGCCGGGTAGGTGGTTTTGTTTGCTCAAGATGTAGTCGAAATTGCAAATCAGCTTCTTCTAGGACTTTCCGAAGCAGGCGTAATGGTATTGATATAATATGATATAGCAACTGGGTAGAGAATATTTAATAAACATTCCACATCTGCAAATGCATGTTTAGTAATTAAAATATTTAACACTTTTAAGACGATTGGCGATTATGCACTCTCACATTTCATAGGTCATGTAAGGAATAATTGCATTTAATTTATATTTAGACCTGTTTTACAAATGCTTTGGTTTTCATAATACACCTTTATTTGTCAATATCATACATCTATTCACTGAAACATGTATGTTTTTATAAGTCAGAATATTCAATACTAAAAACAGAATTACTGTATCCACAAATCAGGTCAAACCTTAAAATACCTTTTTTATAGTAACCAAAACAAAATGCATTTTTTCAATGTAATTTATTTAGGCTCCATGGCAAGAAATAGTTTATTAGTCAATATGAAGCAACTGTTTCATGAATTGTCTGTAGCTTCATTTAAATGGTTTCAACTAACAGCTGTAGGAATGTTATTATTATTTATTGCCTTCTCTGCACAGATAAAAACAAAATAAATGTTGAATATTTGTGGCTTTCAGCATTTTTCACTGAAACAAATATTACACTTAAACATAATATATATATGGGACCAAATAGAAACTCTTCTGGTTATTTTGGTGGTGGAACCACGCTGATTGGTAAAAGAATCACAGAGAAATTGGTGAACATACATAGAAAAAAAACATCGCCACAAACAAATTAAAAAACCTCCTCCTTTTGTTGGTATTGGGGAAGTCGGTTAAAAAGGCTATTGATAGGTATCAGGGCATTTTTCTTATCCAAAAGATTTCTGCAAATAATGTCCTTAAACACAAAGCTGGAGATATTAGCTTATCATGTAATCTTACTGTAACAAAACAACATCCATTGCAAAACAAATTACAATCAATTCTCTATGATTGTGTGTTGTTTGAAGCAAAAAATTATAGAAGGATGAGTTAAAACCATGTTATTTACTTTGACAGACAAAACATAGACAGGAAAATGTTTGAAAGCCCAATGGTCTGTCTAATCTCACTATGTTTCAGATATACGATAGAAGTTGCTGACTTTGACTTCGCCCAGGCTAACGACTTGGAGTACATGACGTTTGGACAACGTCTGAAAGCAGCGCTGAACAACTACCTCAACCGACCTGACCAGTACGTTAACGATCCCTTCCACAACATTAACGAGTGTCGTAAATACGGCAGCATACAGTGACTACGTAAGTCACTGTGTTGTCCGTTTGTGTCTTGACGTTTCATTTCACTTTGAATGAGTTAGTTTTTGTTATAAAGGTTGTGTAAAGACAATGTTATTAGTCACTGAAATCACGGAAATTGCTGAATGATCTCAAAAACTGAAAAATAACAAGACAAATTATGTATTTCTTTTTGTAAATTATCTAGGCACAATAATAATAATCTAGGTTGCTTTTTGTAGTAATTATTTAGTTAAAGAAAAAACAACCATACATTGTAGGTTTTTATTACTCATATTTTTAAATAAATTAATATCACCTCTCATAACAGAAAAAGTACCACTATGCTTATCACAAATGAGTTTACTATAAATTTTCACTGAAAAGGTACAGATTTTTTCTTAAAGAACATTAGAATCATTTGTTTGAACGTGAAAGTTTTGATTAAATTAATAATGATCAGACTGAACAGTTACCAACCTGTAAAAACATAAACTACAGTTTTCGTAACTTTTTACTTACAACATTTGTTAATATAATTTCTGTTCTTTTTCAAATCTTATTCTAACTCAAATATAGTAAAAATAATCGTTGCTTAAGAATGAATACCCCGTATCTACCCATTTTTGCATGGAAGCCCTGCACTAACCCACTGATGCTTAAGTAAATCGTTGAATCACACCTACGAGCACCAGAGTTGCATTCAGTCTTTAGTGGCACTCGTCTCAGCTGGCTGATGGTGACATTGCGCTTTACTAACGAGTTGCACAGACAAGTCATTCTACATGCATGGATTCAATTCCCGTATGTGTGCAATCCATATTAAGCTTACTAACTAATGTGTGGTTTAGCCAGTGGGAGGGCCCACCTTAAATATACGTGTCCGGCTTGGGTGGAAGTTTTGAGAGAATTAGTGAGTTTAATAGGAATTGCACACACACTCCTGTTTTACTTCTTATTACACAAATATAGAGGAGGACACAGTTATTTTGTTTTTTGACCTAATTAAATAAGCACATTTCTTGTTGAAAGAGACAAGAAAAAATAGATAACCTAAAAAAAGGAATTGATAAAGAAATTGTCAAACTTATCAAATATGCAGAATATCAAATCAGCAGATACGAGGTATCACTTCTTAAGCAACGTTAGGATTCTGCACTTGGCTAATGAAAAGGCATCGTACGGTAATTCTTTAGTGTAAATTATTGTTTTACACCTTAGTCAAATTCTAGAAATAAAGAACCTCTTTCTTCCAGCAATTGTGAGATAGACGCTTTGTCAAAAATCGAAAACACTTCCAAACTGAGCGGAGATAAAGTCTTAGGTCTGGACAAAGACACTCAAACCCCGACGAGGAGGGATTCTAAGCCTGACGACGGATATGATAAAGGAAATCAAAGTTGTAGTGGTGAATCTCAAAAAGAGATTCTTGACGTAAAATCTTTGGCTGGTGGTGTATTATCAGAGCAAAGTGAAAAATCAGATTTTCCCACTGACCCTAATTCTGATGATTCAGATTCAAATATTTCATCCAATACGACTTCGACGGTTACGTTAGAATCGACCAGCACTCTGAATGATGGGTGAGATAAGATGTGTGAAGCTTGGGTGCCTAAACAGCTTATTTTGGGTATCTGTTTATCTGGCGGTTTTTGGTTTGGGTTATGTAAAAACTAGGTTTTTTAGATTTAAAATAATATTTATTAGCACATAACGTACAGAGTTTACAGATAAATGTACAGGTAATTCGTCATTCTTCTTATAACATTTATAATAGTCCTTTCTTTAAACTAATAACAGTCTTAAAAGTATTTAACCGGTAATGATAACAAAAAAATTGATTACATTTGGTAAACCACTTTAGGCATAAAAAAGATTTGTTAGGTTGGACTAAGTGTTTACCAGTTTCAAACAAGATAGCACCAAAAGTTGACAAATGTTTGTGGAGGATTGGGCCAGAGATTGCCGAAGTGATTGGAATTTTTTTTTGCCTCCAAGGGTTATTTCATGCACATTTTTTATCAAAAGATTTGTCTAAAGTATACCTCCTTTGCATCATTTAATTGCCGCCAATGATTGATAATGACTATAAGGTCAATTGTTTGTACCTTTTACGTCGTCAATCCACTGTCTATTAAATTTATAGTTTCGGAGCCTAATACAATTTTCAAATCTCGTAAGATTGTCAAAAACGCATATTTCTTTATTACAAGAAAGAGAAGATACACCTACATTTAAACAAAAACTGCAATCATGATCGAGTGGCTAGTCCAAAACAAAATGAAGTGAAGACAACACCAAACCAAAATGATATAAAGTTACATGACCCTATTATCAGATAAACTAGCTCACATCGTCTCAATGGAGCACATTGATGATCTTAATTTATGCACAACTTTCACAAAATGTTAGATTATAACTAACACTATAATTTAATGACAAGGATATCAAATACATAGATATAGAGTTAAGAAAAGTCTAAAGATATAGGCCTAGTCAAAAGTTTTCAAAACCGATTCTTAGTAAATACCTCTTGTATTTTATGCCAGAAACTAAGTTAAGATTTAAAGTATTTGTTTATGTATAATGTTAATGAAATCCAAGAATATTTGTTGACGTATTATGTTTTTCTTGCCTTATCCACTCACTTTTGCAACAATGTTTTTTTCTCTTGCTGTGTTGCTCCTGTATTGCTGTATTCCTGTATTGCTTTGAGTCTGTAGTATTTGAGTATTTTATTTTTGATTGGTGAAGGTGAACTTTACATACACTTTCCTCTTCTTAGTAATATCATTGATGTTGTAGTGTAAACACATGTATTTATTCAATATTCACCGATTCATTAAATGCTACAAGTCTTTAGCAAAAGGTATTTGTTTTAATGTATTTCAGCAGCCAATATGTTCAGTACAGGATTGGTTTTAGGATTTTAATTAAATCAACAATCTATTATCTATATATTAATTTGAAACTGGTTTTCTTTGTCACAGCTATTTTGAGAGAACGGCTGGGCGTAGAAACTCGGTAGAGGTGTCTAAAGAAAGGTCTTGGTCTGTAGATGAGCCATCAAAAGAGAAACATGGTGAATTCCCTTGGGGCTCTGCCCCCGTGGCCTTTAAATTCCCATCCAATGTTATTCTTATGGAGGAAAACGGGGGTTTTTTCACAGCTAATTTGAGAGAACGGCTGGGCGTAAAAACTTGGTAGGGGTCTCTAAAGAAAGGTATTGGTCTGTAAATGAACCATCAAAAGAGGAAAGAGGTAAATTCCCTTGGGGCTCTACCCCAGAAGCCTTTAGAGTTGCTTCAGATTTGTTTACATTACGACCATATACACTACTTTTAGTTTGTCTACACTACTTTTTAATGCAACAGCTGTTAATATTTAAGTTGTGATTTATTGAATTTAGTATTTGCAATGGATTTTTCTGATTTTAAAATTGATTTTCTTCTGCATCGTGTCATGTTTTGAAATATAATGTTCTATTACCAAACCAGTGGAAAATCCCAATATCACAGTAACTTTTAAAATTATTTCTTATGGAGTTAACTTATATCCATTGTATGGGTTGGTTTCTGCCTGTTTACCACTTCTTGGAGATTGTACGTAGGTGATATTCTTTGGCATATTGCATCTGTAGACGAAACTTGGGTTGGTGTAATTAATACAATGGAAAAGAGCGAGAAATCCTAGAAAATTTGATATAGGCTAAAAATAAAGCTGAATAACACTGTGCTACATTTCTTGAGCAATCATTGAAATAACCGATTTGCAAACAATGGAAACATAGAAAAAGTCATAGAACACAACCAAGTAGAAGAAAATCAATTTTAAAATCAGAAAAATCCATTGATATTTGAGTATTTTATTTTTGATTGGTGAAGGTGAACTTTACATACACTTTCCTCTTCTTAGTAATATCATTGATGTTGTAGTGTAAACACATGTATTTATTCAATATTCACCGATTCATTAAATGCTACAAGTCTTTAGCAAAAGGTATTTGTTTTAATGTATTTCAGCAGCCAATATGTTCAGTACAGGATTGGTTTTAGGATTTTAATTAAATCAACAATCTATTATATAATTTAATTTTGCTTGTTTGTAGGCAATTTTAAAGTTTTTTGTAAGGGAATAGTCAAAAAACTCGGTCTCGTTACTTTCTAGCGTTGATCTTTTAACCCAAATAACTCAATTGGGTCAAGTTACGATCTCGCTTGGAATCTAACCAGTTCGAAGGTGAGTACTATAACTACTCGCCTACCCAGACGATTAATTGGGATTTCAAAAGCTTAGGCTTGATTTTTCTTCCCTTGAGCTTGAGCTTTTGAAATTTCAGAATTTACTTCATCCTACGTTCAAAATCAATTACTCTAAAATCTTTAAACTGATTAAATGTGACAGTAGCAACAAAACTATAAGTGGGTGTTTAAAATAATGGGTAAAAATAAGCGTGTCATTCCTGATTTTGTGATTTTTAATTGCTAAAGCAACACATCATTACCATAATATCAAGAAAGTAATTTCAACTCCTCTCCTCCATTGTACACAGACCTGGTGTTTATAAAACAGATTTTTTTTATAATAATTTATGGGAACAACGCGATTACAGTACTTTTGTTGTAACATTTACAACACTATTTATTTTATTTTATTTTTTATAAAAATGTATTTCAACTTACTTTATTCGCAACCAAAATTACAAATGAATGATTTTGAAATAAATTTTAGCCTATACTGCATGTAAAAATAAAGAACCATTTTAAAATGTTAAATATAAAAGCAATTCAAAACAACAAACAAATTGTTTTTACTTTTAACTCAGAAGTTTTCAACATGACCTTATCATACATATATTTTTAAATACACCTAAACCAAACAAGAATGATAATGTAGGATAGTAATGATTATAATAACAGTTAACATTAAAATTTTACTAATCTCTAGTTTACGAGGTGGGGAGCAGACGGCACGGCACGGCCGGCTATCACCCACTGCCAACATCACAACGCCAAATACTCTACGATTCCCTCAATTTTTATTGCTTTAAGTTCTGGACTCAAATAGGTCCGGACTTATAGATCCTGGAGTTTCAGAGATAGATCCGCCACTCAGCAAGACGATTTAGATCCGAGAGCTTATTTGAGTCCTGGACTCAATAAGTCCAGAACTTATAGATCCGGAGCTCAGCAACTGGCCCTTAAATGTATTCTATATATTTCTATTTATGGTTTAGTGGTTTTTCAGATGGTTTCCTTGTAAACACCCATCTTTACCGTCAAACATACACATAATTGTTATAGCTTCACAGTTATTTTTTATTTTAGATATCACATTTCCAACTCCATATATCTGAGAATGACCCGATCCATTTGCATCTTTTAATTGCTCCAATATCTCGAGGATCATCAGAAACACTAAGCACCTCACGTTTATATTCAGGGTGATTCACGGGAACCCTGACAAACTTCGGGAAATGGTTCCTTGGATTAAAACTAGGAAAAAATGTCCTATAAGCATATGTCCTTAACTCACTTGTTTTCTATTTGTACGTAAAAATAGGTTTTTTTTAGGTTTTCAGTGTATCTGTTGAACATTTTGACCTTTAGATTGAAAAATTGACAAGATATTTTGATAAAACTTGCATTGATAGATAGAATATTACATTTCGAAGAAATTTCATTACTATTTTGGGCAAACATGTTGGTTATGACTGTTAAAATAAGTTTAAAAAAATATATTTTTGAAAAAATCTAGATTATAAATTATTTTTGTTTTTGACAGCTCTTCATGTAGTAACCATTCAAGCTTTTGGCTTGCAACTTAACCAAAAGTTGTAGAATTTCACGGAGAACAAGTAAATGTGAATTCATGTATACCTCTTAATGGGATTATTTTTTTCAAAATCTAAAAATCGTAAAATATCAGAAATTAATGAAACTAAGCGAAATAAACAAAATTTTATATTAAGCTTATATATTTTTTTGTGTGAACTGGGAGAAAACCCAAAAAAATTCTCCGAACTTGAACATATTTACTCATATATACATTTTTCTGTTTCAGGAATAATTATTGCCGAATAGAAAATTCCCAAGGAAGATACTGACCATTTACGGCCACCGGCATTTAGTGTTTGCATTGTAAAGCTCAGATATGTAGCCGAATTTGTGGTGAAATAATAACATTTTTAATGGTACAGTAAATATAAAAAAATTTAGTTTTTAAAGCTTTATGTATAAATCCCTGAGCAAAATTTCTTATTGGATTTTATTTCTGGCTCTGAGTGGAATTCGGTGCTATAACTTCAAAAGCATTATTGATGTATATTACTTTCCTACAGTAAATACAATTTGAATTTGTTAATGAGGCAACACTATAGAACATATCTTTTATACTTAAGTGAAGTGATGGCTTAAAAGTTGTAAATATTTGTTAACTATTGTTAGTGTTATATCATATTTTGAATTGATCATTTTAACTACTGTGTGGTTTAATTTATTGCATGTTTTTATGTTGTCGTCTGGAAATTACACACATATAATTTCACATTAAACTGTCCAAATAATGTTTTAGCTTGTGCTAAAGTTTATGTTTAAAATAGTCTACATTATTTTAAAACAAATCAACATTACTAACCAGTTTGTATCGTTAACTGTATGAATTTATCTTGTAAACTAATTAATTTAATTTTTTTTTATTATATTTGTTTAAACTAATTCTTATATCTGTTAGCAAGAAGTGTCTTTATGGGTTTGATTAATTTTAAACTCTACAATCATTAGTTTTAAAATATTTATCTTTGCCATAGCTATTTATTTTTATATCGAGTTTTGTAAATTGATATTGTACTTTGATGAAAATGTCTACTTAGCTTTTTCTGTAAGGTCAGATTACCTTGAACCTAAACTGAATGAAAATATTTTTTTTCTTTCAGTTTGACTCAAACTTTAATTATTTTTAAACCAAATTAAAAAAAAAAACTATTGTACATGTTTTAGAGGCAAAATTCCAGTATTGGTCTATTTTTCCATTGAAAATAAATTTTAACATAGTTTACATCACACATAGTTTGCGAGTTGATAAATTAAATTTATGGAATAGTTTGAATGGCAAAAAATCATCTACATTATACATTTAATAAGCTCACATAATAACATTACCTTTATTGCATCAATACTTAAGTCTGTAATATCACATTTTGTTATAAAACACATTTTTTCAATATTTATGTGTAAAGAATATCCCTCTCAAGAATTATTGAAATTTTCTTATTTTATTTTTATTAATATCACTAAAGTGACTGAACAGTTTTTGCTGCCTCATTTTATTTCTATTGAACGGGAAAGAAAGTATTTTAACATGCACAGTTCCAGGGAAAAAAATTTTATTTAATTCAAATTCAAATTAATCTTTGTGTTTAATTTTGGTAAAAGAAATATTTACTTAGAAATGAGGTAAGCACCTCCAAATTTATTTTAAAGTGATTAACAAATTTTATCAAGTATAAAATTGGATTTGTATTTCAATTTACCAAAGTTACAAATGCATATTTAACTGAAAGTTTAAAGGGTTAAGTAAAAAGGATCGAGTGGTTTCTGTTTAGCTCGAAAGTATTTCTTCATTTTAACATTTGAACTGTCACTGTTTTTGGTGCATACATGCATCATGGTGTTATATATATTTTTTTTTATTTTCCTGTAAAACACTAAGAAATTGTATGTTTATTATATAACGTAAGCTTTGACTATGAATACATTAATGTAGGCATCCCGGACAATATATCCAAGTTGTGCCCAGATTAAAAAAAGAAAAGTACTTATGTCAATCAGTTACCGGCAGAGCAAATAGAGTTTTGAATACACACCAACTCTTGCAAAATTAAAAGAGAAATAATAAGTAAAAAAAGCACCTACGTCATCATATTAGCTACTATTTCCTCCAGTACAAACTGGCAACAGCTGATTCATATAGATGGGATGTCTACTTTTGTATCCAAATTTGTGGTACCTAATTTAATAATCCTGTGTAAATATTAAATTTTCATGCCGCTTGCACAATCAAAAACTCACATTTTTAAACCTATAAGCTGTTTATCCTCTGATTAAGTTGTATGTACATCTCCCTCATGTAATTATACTAAAATATTTGTATATACCTATTGATGAATCTTGTAACAATCATAATATTTTTCCGATCGGGAACATTGTCTGTGATAGGAATGAAGGTAAATAAGATGGCTGTTATTTCTAGTTTTATTTTACGTAATCCAAGCACATTGAGGTATATATTAATTTAATCTCTCATGTATACATTTAATAAATACAGTATTTCTATATTGTGTGTGTTTTGCCATAACCAAATCCTTGTAGCATTTTTAGAAGGAAATTGTCAAAAGTAGTTACATTTAGCCCTCTGCTAATGTAAATTGATTTCTATTAAACAAATTTGTTATTCCTATTCCGTTCCTATTATTATTAAAATATTTTTGTTAAATTCATTGATAACACAAACTATAAAAATAAATTTCAAAAAAGTACAAATAAAACTACTAAGAACTGCTAAGAAAAGTTAGTAAAACCACCTACAACTGGGAATTGGCAATCTCTTTGAGTAAGACACAATGAATGAAGCAATGTATTTTTAATGTTACATCAGGCGATAAAACACAGGAACATGGAGATAATAGTAAGCCTCACTGACACTTGACACTTATTGATGAGATAAAATACCAATCAGTGTTCGAGATTTGCATTTGCATTGTATATATATGTTTAGTAAATATTTATATGAATCATAAACTAACAATATTAGTTCATAAGTATAGTTCATAAGTGTAACTTATGAATCATAAATATAAGTTACAATTAAAGGAAAAAATTTAACCATTCATCAAATACGTTTCGGATCTACTTTAATAGCAACAGATGAGTAGTCCTTTCCTTTGTTTGAAGTTCATTGTTGGTGATGTTCAAAGGTTTATTGCGGACATTTTCCATCACGATTGTAAAAAACAATACACAACGTTTCGGGATCTGGAATCTGATCCCGTCCTCAGGTGAAAAACTTGACTAACACATTACAACTAACAATATACAAACGCCCAACCTAAGTTGGAATACACTTCAGAAGGTAGCAGTCAAAAATATGCACTGTATAGCAGTCAAGTCATGATACAACATGCAAATAATAACCAATCACAAAACACTATAATCTATAAGTAGTAGTCTATAGCAGTAGTATAGTGGTATTTTTTTTATCTTCTGTAGTGTATTCCAACTTAGGTTGGGCGTTTGTATATTGTTAGTTGTAATGTGTTAGTTAAGTTTTTTCACCTGAGAACGGGATCAGATTCCAGATCTCGAAACGTTGTGTATTGTTTTTTACAATCGTGATGGAAAATGTCCGCATTAAACCTTTGAACAACAGATGAGTAGTAACAAAAAATGACTACAATACTGCTTTTGATAAATTAACATAGCACATTGAAATTGGAAAAGAGTTCAAACTACTAATTTGTCCATCTATGGGATGTGTTAGGGGTAACATCCCCATGGAAAAGGTCATCGTCAATCTTCACCAACTCCATCTTAGAACAGAGACCAAAATGATTAATGTGAGTGGCTCAGTCCGTAGTGGGGCTGACTACAAATTCATGTTGGGAGTGATGTACCTAGTGGGTTGGGGCTCTGGTGCCCGCCACTAAATTTTATCAGTTCATTGCAGTCTTTAGTACCGTGCCAACCTTTTTATAAAGTACAAAAACCTTAATGGTGTAGCATTTTTGTTTTTTTTTACGACTTCACCTTTACAATTTAAAATTAGCCAGCCTTGCAAAGGTAATCTTAACTAATACACATATAGGTAACTCACACTACAAATACTGACACTTAAATAAAACTCTTGTAAACAGTACAAAGATGTAACATTGCAAACTCCAAATGGCCAATCCAGCTAAGATAACTCAGTCAAAACAACTTTGATCTTGAACCAAATCGATTGAACCTTTTCTAACCTTGTCACATTTTAAACACATAAAATCAAATACTGATTACACTGAATGCTGAAAGCTATCATTACATGATGAAAATCAATAAACGGTCTACATATTCATAATCTTTGTTTATAAAGTTATCTGAGTAGCAAAATTCATATCATGCACTGATGCAATGGAAATTTAACCTTGCTACCCCCTTATCAGTTTAATACTTTTTATCACTACTCACCATTATCTGAGTAGCGTCAATCCTCAATTAATTGATAATCTCTCGATTGAGTAGCGATTTTTTAGCTGTTCAAGACAATCGCTTCTTTGTTTGGTATCGTGTGCATGGTTTTCAGTGTTGTGAAGACAGTTTACACTCAAATCAACACTTTTAGTGTTGTTGAAAGTGTTTTTTTTTAAATAGTTTTAAAACAAATCCTAATGTTGGTTGAGACGGTGACAATCTCTCGGACCAGAAAACTCTATCTATCAACGGATACTGAGAGAGAAAGGAGTGACGGTAAGTTAATTTTAAAACTGGATAGAATTAAATTAGAGTAAAATGTTGATCCATCAAATTTTGAGCACTTGAAAATTTGAGGGACTTTTGTAATACTTTTCTTTGTGGGCTTCATTCTCACTGGAGGTAAAGGAAAAGTATGGTCAGTTTCTAAATGTAGGGAGTGACTAGTCAAAAAACGCATAAATGAAATCAAATAGTGTATGTGGACAGATTCAGTAGTTTTAGCGAATTTCCCATATAGGGAATAAGCTATTACCGTAGTACTCATGGTAAGACCTGGACGCGGGACCGATTTTTTTTTTCGTTTTGAGGTCCCTAGAGGCCAAAAACACCATCCGTTCAAATTCATATATATATATATATATTTAAATATATATATATTTATATATATATATGTGTCCGTCAGCACGATAACTCGAGCAAAAATGATCCGATTTTGATGAAATTTGGTATATACGTGTAAACGTACGTTTATTCGAACGAGTTCGCGATCCAGCATGATCGGACCATGGGAACGGGGGTTTACGGGGGGTTTTATGGGGTAAAAATAGGTTTTTCCCATTTTTGACCCAAAAAACATAAAATTTAGCAATTTCTTTCCAAACCATTTTGTAGAGCTTAAAAAAACAAATAATTTAGTATATTGAAGCGTTATTATGCGCCTAATGGCTACGGAGAAAATACTAAAAAATTGTACATTTAAAATTCCCATGTTATTCTTATGGAGAATAAGTAAACTGTTGTAGTTTGCTTGTTTGTGAACATATTTTGATCAAATTTGGAAAATGTTTTTATTTCTTACTAACTATTCACATTTTACAAAAAAAAAAAAAAAACAGTTTTACCCCCCCTGATGCAGCAAACCTAAGTACTTGTTAAACTAATTCTATTTAAATCAAGAATAAATGTTATATTTTTAAGTAGACATTTCAGTGTAAATCCAATCAGTCAAATGGAAATTCGCTTAGTCTGCAGGTTTGCTGCGGCGGGGGTATTTTTTATAGCTGTAGTATATATTTACTACGTATTTAATTTCTTATTTATAAACTGCTCCCAGCTGTTCAAGTTTTCTTTCGTACCTGATCTTGAAAGCGGAAGATAAGTGGTAAAGGATAAGAAGGTAGAAAACATCATAAACTCATTATGTTATTGCGGTGTTAGTAATCAGAACCACTGCTTTAAAAGAATTAGAGCAGTTTGTATTTTTCCTTATTGTATGTACGGGGACCTAATTTTACCGTGATATATATTCACACTAAGAAAAACAGTAAATTAAAATATTTTTTTGTGTCTGTTTTTTTCTCTGACCACATGTGGTTCAAATAACTTCAGGGTAACACTTCTTGAATTTTTGTACAAATAGTATTTAAAAAACTACTTATTTGACTAGGGTTACTGATTGTAGATTTTCTTGTAAAATAAAAATTAATGAAGTCAAAATACATTTTACATTTACCGAAAACAAACCTAACTTATAATAGTCTTCAGCTATCTACGAGAATAATAAACGTACAACTCTCAGAGAAAAAAACACGGGTGACTAATTAATATTTTTTGAAAAAATCAGAGAGTGCTTTTCCTACCCCACTGAGAAAGGGACTCCTACACTACACCACTTATTGGGACTGTGAGTGTACTCAAACATTTCAAAATTTATTTAAAAAAATTTTCTATGTTTTTATTGTTTAACTTAAGTAGTCGCTACATTTAGGAGTGACCTAATACACCTTTTACCAAGAACTTATTGTTATCAATCCATGTGTCTAGGAGAGGTAGAAGATGTTAAATTTTTATCAGTTGTCGAACTTTGCCAAGTACTTGAGTTTAAGTCAAGTACCCTTAGGAGTTACAACTTCACTTAACAACCTAGATTACATGTCAAGAATGAACTTTTGTAAGTGCCAAACACCTAACCAAAACAAAGGTTCTCATTGTGATTCCAATCGATTGTGATTACTGTGAAATAGGTGTCAATCCCAAAAAGGTGAACTGCATCTGATTTTTTTTTCTCGTGTCTACGCCAGTGGCATTTTTGTAATGATGTCAAACACTTTTAAGGGAAAGCGGTGATGTGCCGGGGATTGAACCCGTCCCTCTCACACCGAAGTCCGAGATGCTAACTACTAGGCTAGCAACTCTCTTCTTTTTTTGTCTGTATTAGTTAAATCAATATTTTACAGCTTGACATTTTACCTTAGTATTAGCTTTGCATGTGTTTAATGGCTGTTTTTAATAGAACTTCTTTAGCCAGAATGCACTTTTATCATAAGCTGCTGGAATTAATGCCAGGCCTAGGCAATATTTAGATAACACTAATTCATTTATTATCGCTCATGATCAGTAGTTTATCTCTATGGTTAAGTGACAACTTTTATCTCTGTGCGCAAGCGCTGACAATTTTATTGGTGACTTTGGTGGCGGTACTAGCAAGCAGCATTTTTGATTTACAGTATTCTTTCTTCTTCCCCGTTGCAGTTAAAATGGTTAGGTCCCTCTCATTGAAACAACTTTCACCTGTTGAACTACGAGGTAAGTCTTATTACTCCATGGAATAAAGAGCTTAAAATTAAATACCCCCGTCGCAGAAAACCTTCAGACTAAGGGAATTTAATTTGAATGATAGAATTTTTACTAAACTGTTCCCTTTAAAACTGTCAGATTTGTTTTCTATTTGAATAGCATTTATTTTTATTAGTAATTAGGTTTGATGCTACGGAGAAGGGAACAAGTTTTTTTTTATAAAATGTGGATAGTATAGGATTAAATTAATAAATTTGCCGAATTTCAACCTAAAAATATTCATAAACAATCAAACTACAACAGTTGTCTT